TCCATCCTAGCCCCGTCCAGTTTATGACCATTATCATTTTTTTTTCACAAGGTATTTCTGACCTACTACAAGCTATTTAAATTGCACTGTCAGTTTTACTGCAAAGATGTTTTGTATTTTGGCCAAATCTTACAATAAGAGTTTGGAACTATTTTAGATATTAAGACTGTTACTGTTCTATGGAATGTGTCCCCCATAATAGATGGTTATTGTGTGGCGAATTTGATGACATTTTATGAATTTTTCACTGTCAAAGATCGTAAAGTGAAAAAATTTAAAAAACAAAAAACAAAACTTAACATGACTATTTGAAAGGGTTGTCAGTAAATTCCCAATGAGAGACTGGCACTTTGAGTTAAGATGTGCACACAGTGAAGCTTTACACAGCCGCTGATCGAGTTTCTAACTCACCCTTCTTGACGCTGCTTCAGGGCACTAAGAAAACACTCATGGCTGGTCCTCCATCCTTCCACCATCCAGGACTTTTCTCTGCTATCTCCCTCTGCTAGCTAGATGGTTCATTCATTCATCCATAACTTCTTCATTTGAGGGACCAAGAGCAGTGGACTAAGCAGTGAAATTATAAGGATGAGTAAGACAGCGTGTGGCCCATGGTAGTTTAGTAAAGTATGACTCAGGATACGTGTCTGGTACGCAAAGCTATTAAAAATAGTCTAAGACCATCACAGGTACAATATAACGAAGTATACAGTATACAGAAGGGGTGACATAACACAGAGGCAGCAGAGAACAATCTCTAGGAAAATGACATCTAAATTGTTCTTTACCATGGAAAAAAATAGAGGGGACAGGTACAGTGGTGCATGCTTATAATCTCAACCTTCTGGGAGGCCAAGACAACTAAAGATCACTAGCTCCAGCCCAGCCTGAACATCTTGGTAACTTAATGAGATACTGTGCCAAAATAAAAAACAGAAAAGTGGGTAGGGACGTAGCTCAATGTGAAGGTCCTGAATTCAATCCTAAGCATCACAAGAGATAGGTAGATTGACAGACACATAGACAAGACAGTTTTAACATTGTCGGTGGGAGACCATCAGAAGCACATTTCTGAAGGTTATTCATGTTTGAGGGAAAAGGAGAGGGAAAAAAGGAATGACATTAAAGGATAAATATTTCTATTTGTTTCAACTCCCATTTTGCACTTTGAACCTGAGTCAGAAAAAGACATTTGAATTACTGAAAAAGATTTTCCTGAACATGGTGAACTGAAAGGTAATAAGATCAAAAAGAAAAAAATTGAAATAAATCAGACACACAGCCTAAATATTGCATGGTTTCTCTGTATGACAACCCAAAAGAGAAATAAAGAGTAAAATAAGAAACTGATAATAGGAAAGAGAGCTTTTTTGTAACAGGGAAAGGGGCCAAGAAATGAAGGAGGAAGAGAGAAGAAAAATTAAGATGTTATATCCACGCACCAAATCCGCAAGAGGAATGTATTATATAATGTAAACATGTACTAATACAAATAAACTTCTAAAACTTAAACGTTTTAAAAGAAAAATATTGGCAGAGGGCAACTCATTCAGGACCCCTCCTGTCTCTCAGGAAAAAATAGCGGGATACACTATAGTAATTTTTTTGTTTTCCTATTAACCTGATTTGAACCCCAGTATTGCTCCCCCCATCTTGTTCTGTCTGATTTTACTATATTCTATTTTGTTTGATAGTATCAAGTTTGAGGGTATAGGCAACCACTTTGAAGGTAATAAGATATACTATGATGCCCATTATGGTTTGACTATTATCTTTTTTTGAAGTCGTATAAGGTCTCCAGTGTAGGTTTTATTGGTCTTGTTCTGTACTGTTTTGATCAATTCTATTATACCTGATGATATAAGCAACTCAATTTAAAAATAGCAAGAGGCACAATGGTAACCACTTTTGATCACCTGGTATTCTATTTTTGCATCATGTACTATGCCCATCCTTCTGTTCTAACTGACTCTGTTTTGCTTAGTCATGTTTGTTTTATTCTCTTCAAAAAAAGTAATAAGAACTGTGGGAGTAATAAAACCCAAAAAGTGTAACTGTTATTATAAAAAAGAGAGGAAAGGAAGGTGGACTAAGGGATATAACCGCAGGTATGTTTGAGTGTGTAGGATGGAAAACCTATTACTGAGCTTTTGTTGGATCATTGAACGGAACTGTCTCCAATATCACTGTATGAATGTCCACTTTATATGCTTTAATTTTATAATTTGGACAAGTGTTTCTAAGAAGACAATATGTAACCTATTAACTAGTGATTTCTTACTGTATATTTTTTTCTTGAAATTCTGTATTACTTGCACCCTTTTACTGCTTTGTTTTTTTATGTCCTTTCTTTTCTCTCTTTAAATAAAAAAAAAAAAAGAAATATTCCTATTTCCCATTCCTATTCCCTATTCCTCTTCTCCAATAAATTTTCCTACTCTTAACCTCTACTGTTCCATAGAATTCATTCTTTGACTTTCGAGCACACAAACAGCGTATCTGACATCTAGTATTTCCCCTATTATCACTTAAGAGGCTGGAAGGGTACATGGTAAAGACTGGGTAAAGGTGGTGGCACATGTCTATAATCTCAGCACTCAGGAAGCTGAGGCAGGAGTACTGCCACAGGTTCAAGGCTAGCCTAGACTACAAAGTGAGCTATAAGTCCAGCCTGAACTGCATAGCAAAACCCTGTCTCCAAAAAAAAAAAAAAAAAAAAAAAAAGAAAGAAAGAAAGAAAGAAAAAGGCAGATTTGAATGTACAAAATATCCTAATGGTCAGCACAATGCGTGGCACATAGAAGGTGCCACAGAAAACATTTATAGAAAAAAATAATCAACTTCTACACATTTTTTTAAAAAAAAGAAGCACTGTTAATGGCAAATAATACCACCCTGAATGAGCCCAATCACATCTGACCAATGGCAAATAATGTATGAAAAATGTTTACAATGTATTACTTTAACTCTATAAATATTATATGTTTAATTCTAGAAAGAACTTTTATTGATAAATAGTAACAATTACTAAAATAGGTAAAAAAACAAATTTTTCTTTCTTTTTTTTTTTGGTACTGAGGATTGAATTCACGATGATCTCACATTTGCCAAGCAGGTACTTATGCCACTGAGCTAAATCCCCAGCCCTAAATTTTTTAAAACTAAAATTCAAATGGCCAATCAACAAGAAAATGGGAAAACATCTTATTAATCAAAGAAACAAATTAAAATCTCTAGATACTATCTTAAAACCATCTATAGCAGGAAAAAAATTCAACAATTATCAATGCTGCCAAGAATAAAGAACTCTGATAATCAGAATATAAAAAGTAGGATAATCTTGAGGCTGGGGATTTAGCTCAGTGGCATAAGCGCCTGCCTTGCAAGTGTGTGATCATGAGTTCGATCCCCAGTACTGATAAAAAAGAAAAAGACAATAAATAAATAAATAAATAAATAAATAAAATAGCATAATCTTTTAAAACAAACTAGTAAAACTCCACATTGTCTGGCTTAATTCTAGCAGTAGAAATCCCTCCTTAAGAAAACAGTGTTACAGAGAAAGATAGATATTCAAAAATACAATTTGTTTTGGCCAATAATACATAAATACCATAAACATTCAATGCAAGAACAAGGATTAAATTACAGAATACAACAGGCTAATATATTTTCAAATACATAACATGTTAAAATGCTTACAATGTTAAGTAGAACACAATTATTTGTAACGTATATTACTGATTTTCTATGTGTATATATGTAGATACATATATATATACAGAAAAGAAAGAAATATACCCAAATGTTAATAATACACAATTTAACGGTTAACCGTGAGATCAAACTCACAGAACTACATCTCTGGTCTTTTTTTATTTTTTGAGATACACTCTCACTAAGTTTCCTGGGCTAGTGTTAAACTTGTGATCCTCCTGCCTCAGCCTCCTGAATAGCTGGGATTACAGGTTAATACTTATTGAAAGTTTATTTTGTGCCAGCCACTGAACTAAAAAGTTTGTATGCATTTTCTTACTTTGTCTTTACTATTATTAGTGTATCTTACTAACAGTACTATTAGTAAGGTACTATTAGTATATCTTACCATATGAAAACTACTACTTGCAGGGATAATTTGCCCAAGCTTCTAAGTGGCAGGATTTCCTTCAAACTGTTTTTAGATAGTGAGATTACAGGTGATTTGTGCCTTCTTTTTTAGGCTTTTTCTTTGTTTCTAAAATTTTATACAATAAGTGTATTTTACTTTTATAATAAAAGAGAAAGTAGATGCTAAAGAAGCAAAGGGTGCAAGTACTATTCCTGAAATTTCTAGTGATGCTGTACATGGTGGCACACATGCTTATATCCCAGGACTCAGGAGGCTGAGCAGGAGGATGCCAGAAATTCAAGTACAACCTGGTCTACATAGTCAGTTCAAGGCCAGCCTGCACTACACAGGTAGCCTATGTCTTTAAAAAATGAAAAACAAAACAAAGAAAAACAATTTCTAGTGATAACTGTCTCAAATTCGTTGGACTTCTGAAAGGTCCTTCCGTCTGACTGCCTTCAAAGATCTCAACTACTGAGCCACAGACCCTGCTCCTCCTATCTCCACTCCTGTAGAAGCAGGCACAATGACTTTATAAGTCTGACAGCTGAGATGTGATTCCCAATCGCCACCCTCCCATGTAACCAAAGGGAGTTAATCTTCCTGAGTCTCCTATGTTGATAAAAGGTTACTAATAGTACAGCAGCTGGCCCTACGCAGACGTGCAAAAGACACTCGCAATGCTATGTCAGCTGCTTGGCTCCACATTCCACTTCTCAAGCTTGTGTTTCCTCTCACTTTAGGGAGGGCTGCTGCCGCCCCACTTACAAGACCACCTCAACCAGGGAAGACCCTGTCTCAACGTCGTCTTCAAGTTACCAGCTCGCTACCTAAACCTTCTTTCCTTCTCAACTTCTCTTGCAACCTGATGACTACAGGGGCTGACACTCACGCTCTAATCCGATCTTCGTGGTACAAGATGTCCTGGATGGGCGCTTTGGCTTTGCCATATCGCAAGCGGGGCCTTTGGAAGACTGGCTCCCTCAGCGGAGGAAAGGCCTCATATATGTCATACCAGAGGGGCTTCTCCTTCAACACCCCAGCTCGAAGCAGGTTCCGAGTCCTTAGAGAGGGAACAGAACCAAGGTCAGTGGGTTACAACAGCTTGCCAGAGTCCCTGAATCTGTCTGGCACAGCCTGTTGCGTCACAGGCTGTAGAGTGTATAGAACAAGTGGACAAAGAGGCAGGAAGTGTCCCCACCTATGGGAAAGACACCGTCACATCCCACGCCAGCCTAAGCTTGCTCGGGGTGAAACCCCTCTAACTTCTGGTGCGCGTCCCAACACGGAAAATGAAAGACGTTATAGTGAGGGCCATCAGCCCCTTCCTGGAGAAGGCCAACTGGGGGGTGGAGGGTTCACGACATGAATTTGAGGAGACGCCGACAAACACAACTGCTTGGAGCCACTGAAGTACGACAGCCTCCCTCGGCTAGGACACTCGCACCTGCAGAAGGCTTCGCCCAGCCAGCCCAAAGAAGAGCATGACCCAGAGAACCCCTGCCTGGGGAGGCATCCTCAGCCCGCGCCCAGCGCCGCACACACACCGCGAAAAGACGCTCCCCACGGTTTCCAGCCGGCTCCCAGCCATGGCCACGCGTAGTACTCTAAAGCTAGCCGCAACCGGAACCGGAAGTGGTGGCAGGAAGAGGGAGTGTAAGTTGCTGGCCGAGCCAAGGATCGGGCATTTAAACCACAGCCCAATCTGGGGGGCGGGGCCAGGCAGAAGTAAATGATCCTCCGAAAACAGAGACCATCCCTAGTTTCTTGCCAGATTCAGACTGGAGCATTGGATAGTAGGGCCAAAGGGAGGGAGGGAGCCAAAACCTAGCAGGAGTAGTAGTGACCTATCTAGGGGAAGGATTAAGTATAGTGTTTGCTTTACTCGTTCTGGCTTTATGAAGCCAGCTTCTTTCCACAAAGTCGAGCCCGGGGGAGGTAATACTGTATGTCGAGGAGGGAGCGGAAGAAGGATCAGGCACAACCTATTATATAGAGGCAGAGATTTGAGGTCACCAGCTCCAGAGCTGGACTCAGCCTAATCTTGGTCAGAGTCACAGGCTACGCAGAAGGAAACAGAGGCCCACTGAAGGCCCTTTCTCAAATCATACTGGACTCTAGGCTGTGTAGCGCTTTCCACCTGAGCCCTTGGTTTCAGGAGTGTCACCAGCGTCCCACAGTCACAGGGATGCTGCCTGCCCCTGGGTTCCCTCCGCTAGAGGAGCCTCTGGCTCGCTGCTCCTTGGACCTTGAGAAGTAAGTGCCCAGAACACGCAGGTTCCGAAGAAAGTATTCCAAAATCTGGAGAAAGCAACTCATTGGTAAACTTAAAAACAAGGGGCTGGGCCAGGAGTGGTGAAGCACGCCTGTAATCCCAGCACTCAGGAAGCTGAGGCAGGAGGATTATCATGAGTTGTAGGCCATCCTGGGCTGTATAGTGAGTTCAAGGGATCCTGAATTACATAAGACCCTGTCTAAAAAAGGGGGGTGGTAGAGGTGTAGCTCAGCAATCATATTTCAAGGGAAGTACTACATGGAAACTAAAGCATAATTGATCAATATAGCATTATTTATAATATGAAAATCCACTGGAAAGTGTCTGAAAAATTATGGTTCATGCTTTTAAGGGAATCCTGTATAGCTGTTAAAATGAAGAAGCCAGTTCCGTGTGTATTTACCTAGACTGAAGTCCACAGCTTATGGCTCAATGAAAAAGGGAAGTTGCAGAACCGCCTTTAGTGGAATCCTAATCTGTCAGGTGAAAAATAAAACCAAACATCCATCAGTGTGACCGTTTTTGGGGATAGAAATTGTACTGAAGGACGCACCAGCCTGTAATTATGGCAGGGGGTAGGGGTTAACTGCAGAGAATGGAGTATGTTTCTTCCCTTATGTGTGTCTTAAAGTTTAACTTGTAAAGAATTTGTATTCTGGGGCCCGGAGATTTAGCTCAGCGGCATAAGCACCTGCCTTGCAACCCATCTGCTGCCACCAGGGTGTGCAGTCGTGACTTCGATCCCTGGTAACGATAAAAACAAAAAGGACAAAAAAAAAAGAAAAGAAAATTATTATGCCAGGAATGGTGGCACACACCTGTAATCCCAGAAATCGTGAGGCTGAAGCAGGAGGGTTGAGGCAAGTTTGAGACCATCCTGGCCTACTTACTGAGTTCAAGGGTAGTGTGAAATATATAGGGAGACCTGTCTCAAAAAAAAATTTGCTTGCTGTTTCGTATTTGAGTTCCCTCAACACTCTTGGGTGCTGGGGAATGAATCCAGGGACTACCCTGGACCAGGCAAACACTCTTAAGTCTAAGCTACATCCCCAGGCCCTCCATCCCATTTATTTATTTACTTACTTAATTATTTAGAAACTTGGTCTTGCGAAATTGTCCATGTTGGAAGGGAACTTGAGATCCTCCAGCCTCAGCCTTCTGAATAGCTGGGATTAGTAGTGGGTATACCACCCACACTGGCTCCTTTGTAAAGTTTTTAATTCCATGAGTGTTTTAAATTTTTAAATCACACACACACACACACACACACACACACACACACACTCAAGGTCCCTTGGGAGTCTGTTATCTTTGTCAGCAGGAAAGAGCCTGAAATCATCCCAAAATCTTGCCACTCCCAAGACTGTTGGATGAGCAGTTACTACTTGTTTGTGTTATCTCTCTGAATCCACAGTCTACTCTCAAGGTAGCTATTATCATGCTTATTACAGATAAGAAAGCAAGCCCCCAGGAGGTTAAGTAATTTGTCTGACAGGCAGCTGATTGAGCCAAGATACAGTTCAGCCTGGCCCCTTTTCAGGACCTTAAGATGCTACATGGTCTTGCCTAATGCCTAACGTTAGAGAATGGATAGCTGGGAAGGTCCAGCAAAACTGGCCTGCAAAGCAGGGGACACAATGGATTGAAGCTAGTGCTAAGCTGAGAGGTGGACTTCACTGCTGCCTCCGGCCTTCTGGAAGACAGGAGGGAGCCTAGGGCCCTGACTCTTGCTCCCTGGCCCTGGGGAAGTCTAGAAGACTGCTTTGAAGACCACGAACATGCTCCTAGCTAAATATAACCTTCCTGGGCCTGCTGTCAGGTTTCTCACTCTGTCTAGACCAGAGCTCTCTGCCAGCCCACACCATAGACACACTTCCCTTCTCCCACCAGGGTGTGCTCCCGGAACAAGCAGTCAGTCTACTGAAGAATTAGGGTTGATTCCGGGAGCAGAGAGGAGAGCCAAAGACCCCAATCTTCAATGTGGAAGAACAGTCCTTGCAAGACAGGACTTTTCTCTTAAAATCACTTGCCTCTTTTGAGCTTTGGAAGATCCTCTTTCCAGCATCATATTTAATGCTTTTAATGCTGCAACTGAAAGAGCAGGATGTGAGTGAGCAGAGTGGGGGGCCTTGGGGTTGCAGGAACATGGCTGACCAGGAGCCCTCTGAGCCTATGAGGCACAGCAAGTGCACACCCACATTGCTGGGGAAACTGAGGACAGAAAGCAGGGACATTTAGGCTTTTCATCATCCACTCATGGCTGAAAGGGGCTGGCAAATGACAGTTCCAGTGGCTGTTTCAGGATCACTGCAGCTGCAATAGCATAACCCATCTGCTGCCACCAGGGTGTGCAGCATCTTGGTGCTATTCCACAGATGGCTGTAATGTTTTACTCTCCAGATAAGTGTTCCATCCTTCCCACACACATTCTTCCCACACACCTGAGTCCTGAGACACTAGCTCATGATGCGTGATATGCTAAATGGCTTGATTGCATTAGGGCTGCCAGGGTGGCCATACCAAAGCATCACAGACCAGGTGGCTAAAACAACAGAAAAGTTCTTTTCTCACAATTCCAGAGCCCGGAAATCTAAGATCAAGGTATCTTCGAGGTTGGTTTCCCCTGAGGCTTCCTCCTTTGCCTTATGGATGGCTGTTTTCTCCATGTCTTTGGCTGATCTTTCCTCCGTGAGCTAAGGACTGTGTCCTAATCACCTTGTCTTATGTGGGAACCAGGCATATCAGGTCAGGGTCGACCCTTAAGGCCTCATTTCAAGTTAATTACCTCTATTATTCAGAGGTACCGGGGATTAGGACTTCAATATATGAATTGAGGGTACCCAGTTCAGCCCATGACACTGATGGGTGCTGTGACTGCTACAATGGACCCGCAGATCCACGCCCCGACCAGCCATTCTTCAGCCTGCTCTGTGCCCCAGGAGGGTGACTTCTGGGTGCTGCATCCTCCAGGCCCTGGCTTTCAGCTTCCAGCTGGATTCCACTTGGGCCTGCCAGTGGGAGCCTTGGCAAGGGACCAGAAGGAGGAAGAGGGTGGAGTCAGTCTTTGTTTCTCGGCTCCCTCCCTGACCTCCAGGAACACTGGTCACAGTCCCTGCCAAACAGCTGTCTGCTAGGACTGGAGACTGAACCCTGGGCCTTCACAATTTTTTTTTTTTTTAATTTTGAGAAAATTTGAGACAGGGATTTGCTAAATCACTAAGTAGCCCTTAGAATGTAAGTTCCCTACATTCCGTCCACCTCTTTGTAAATAGCTCCGTTAGTTAAGTAGAGCAATAGAGTTTGTCAAACAGAAGAAAAGCATCTCCAACTGTGGCACAGCTTTGGGAAGTGAAAAATGCCACATACTGACAAAATCATGAACACTGCTACTTAGCTGTGCAGAGGGCTAGGACTGGGGAGCAATTAGCTGGTTACTTTAAAAGGGGGAAAGCAACAATAATACAGCATACATGCCTGTAATCAGCACTTAGAAGGCTAAGGCAGGAGGAGCACTGTGAGTTCAAGGCCAGCCTGGACTACAAAGTAAGCTCCTATCTCAAGGGGGGAAAAGTATATGCAACACACAGCATATGAATTACAGGCCCACTGAGACCCAGAACAAAGACGAAGGGCAAAGAAGGAGGCACCGAAGGGCAAGGAAGGCAAAAGTGCCTTCCTTTAACTGGGCTAATGGGGTCCTGTGTGCTCTCGGGGGGCTGAGTGAGGAGAATGGCAAATTGGAGCCCAGCCTGGATAATTTGACATCTTAGGAAGACCCTGTTTCCTAAAATAAAAAGTGCCCGGGATGTAGCATTACACATGCACACATGCACATGCTCGTACATACATACATACACACATGCACACGCACACACACACACACACACACACACACACACGCGGTGCCTTCACGTGTCTCCTGGCGGAGCACCTCCTGTCTACTTGGAATCCCCAGTGCTGCGGCCCCAGCACACTAGCTGAATGGCTGAGTACTGACCTGCTTTTACTCAGCACTCTGTTCTCCCTTACCTTTCTGCCCACCAAGCCTCTGTGAGCACAGGAACCAGGGCGCTTATCTCTCCCTGCCCACTCCAGCCCAGCTGCCCTGTAAGGCCTCCCCGGATACACTGAGAGACAGAGAGGGCTCTGCTTGTGTGGAGATAAACTCATTCGGCAGCACTGGGCAGCTTGGTCATGTTCACTTCCAGCTCTGCACCTCTCTGGTGGACACAGCTTTGATTTTTTTTTTAATTTTATTTTTTTCAATTTTGTCAGCATGAGACTGGACTCATGGCCTTTGCATGAAGCTACATCCCCATCCCTTTTAAAATGTTTTAATTTTTTTAAATATATAAGTACTAAAGGGCTAAGTTGTTGCCCAGGCTGGGCTGAGACTTGTGATTT